ATATTTATAGATATTTATTATTATGTTTTATTTGATCGTTGATCACCATACGTTAGTGAGTTCTTTCATTATTCAAAAATAGGCGCATTTTGATGTAGATAAACATTGTCATCAAAATCAAGCAAAACATAAGGGTAAATAATTAGTATACAAAAATTATAAATTAGAAATGGTTATATAACAAATATAATTTGTTGAAAATCTTCAATTTGCATTCAAGTACGTGGGTTTTTATTAATATACTTTTTCAAAATTCACAGCAGTACGACATCGCCGCGTAAAGCTAACAAAAATAAATCTGGCCAAGTGCGTGTCGGGTCACGCACAATGTAAGTTCAGTAGTTGCCCGCCACAACAATACGTGGTCTTGATAATGAGCATAATAAGTTCGCGCTTTCACCACTATAACGATTAAAAATGGGCCCTGTCTGTGGCATAGAATTCAATTTAGCGTACGCATGTCTTAGAAGTGAATGTCTTAGGATGTTATACCCATATTATCATTTGTGCACATTATTATAGACAGTTGCAAATAAAACGCATTCAAGAGAGGACGTATTTCATTACTCTATTTAAACCCCAATCAAAAAACAACTCTATTGCAAGTACATAGTGGTCACAATCGAGCCGGATAAGTAAGGAGCTAACATCGTCGTAAACAGCTTTTGTTCATCGTCCCGAGTCTCGGACGCTTACCTGCGCTAATAAAGAACAACAAGTAATATAAAAGTGAATAACAACGAACATTGCAGTAATATTTTGTGAAGCTTAATTATATCTTTTGTGAGTAATTTATAATGTCAAAAGTGGAAGAAATAATCGAACAATTAGAAGAATATTATAATCAAATTAACAAAACTCAGATTAATCTTAAAAAATGTCCTAAAACAAGAATAACACAGGGATATTTAGAAATAAAGATTCAATGCATTGAAGAGTATTGGGTATCATATCGTGCGGCGCATCAAAACTTATTGAAACTAACATCGAAGAACGATAGACAAAAAATATCTCATTTTGTAAATAGCGAGTATGACAAGTGTGAAGAAGTGTTTACTTGTTTGAAAGGGGATATGGTGGACATGTTAAATGATATCAAAAACAATACTGGGAATAATACAAACCCTTCAACTTCGCCGATGTGTGAAAAACCCGTTGTTGACGTAAAGCTGCCCCGAATAAATCTACCTACCTTTTTCGGTGCATATGAAGAATGACAATCATTTGAGGACACTTTTATATCATTAATAGACAGAAATAATAGCCTTAGTGACGAACAGAAATTACATTATTTGAAGTCGTGTGTAGCAGGCGAAACTAAAAATACTATAAACCAATTTCAAGTGACGGATAAAAATTACGAACCAGCGTGGAAAGCCTTAAAGAATAGATATAGTCATAAGCGACTAATAGTAAATGCAATATTAAAGAAATTATTTTCTTTGAAGAAAATAAATACGCAATCACCAGCTCATTTAAAAGTTTTAATTGATAATACAAAAGAATCTATTAACAGCTTGAATAATTTAGATATTAAGACAGATTCCTGGGATCCGTTATTAATATATATATCAATCCTAAAACTAGATCAAGAGTCACACAGAGATTGGGAAACTTATGTAAGCAGTGGACATCCAAAGGATATGCCAACATTTGATAATTTCGTAAGTTTTTTGGAAAATAGAATTCATACACTTGAATTAACATCCACGTCAAGGGAGAAGGTTCAAAGGTCGTATCACATCAGCGCCGCTGCTACTACTGTTTAATGTGTTCTATGCAATGAAAACCATTTCTTATGTCACTGCAAAAAATTTGGCAAATTAGATCCTGAAAAAAGAAGTGAGTATGTAAAAGAAAAGCGTTTGTGTTACAACTGCTTGTCAACTGGTCATCCAGGATATTACTGCAAGCAAAAAACATCATGTCGTGTATGTGGTAAACGTCACCATTCACTTCTACATTCTTACAAGAAGAAAGAGGTGACCTTTGATAAAGAAGAAAACAAACATTCACCAGGGTTAAACTCTTTACACACAAATGTAGAAGAAACTGAGAAGAAAGAATCGGATGTATCAATAGCTTCACACTTTACGTCCAATACTAAAAATGTTTTACTGGCTACCGCTTTAATACCGATTAAAAGTGACACAGGATATGTCACTATGTTGAGAGTACTAATTGATCCAGGTTCGCAGGCGTCTTTCATTAGTGAGAGAGCAATACAACTTTTGCAACTCAAAAGAAAAAGGGTACATGGCACTATTTATGGAGTTGGTTCTACCAAAACATCAATAAGTCATGTGGTGTGTTTTGAAGTATTATCAAACTACGAAAACCAATTTAAACTCAATGTTAAAGCGTACGTTTTGTCTACACCATTGACTACAAAGCTACCTTGTAAGACAATAGAACCTATGAACAATTGGACACATTTAAAAGAACTTACTTTAGCTGATCCTCATTTTGCCACACCAGGAAGAATCGATGCGCTGTTAGGAGTTGAAGTATATACAGAAATATTAAAAGGCAATGTTATCAAGGGTCCACCAGGTACTCCAAGTGCACAAGAAACCAGCTTCGGATGGATACTATTTGGAGAAATATCAAATACTTCATCTTCTGAAGACATCATAGTAATACATCATCATGTTGACGTAGATAACATGTTAAGAAATATGTGGGATATAGAGACTACAGAAAAAAGAAATTTCACAGCCGAAGAAAGATTATGTGAAAACATTTACGCTGCCACACATTCAAGAACAACAGATGGTCGATATATGGTTAAACTACCATTTAAAAATGTTAATTACTTAGAAGAAATATGAGAAACAAAAGAAATTGCACTTAAAAGATTTTATTTACTAGAAAGAAGGCTAAATCTAAACAAGACGCTCAAACAAGATTATATAAGAGTAATTGAAGAGTACATTAAGTTAGGATATATAGAAGAAATACCACATAAGGAAAGAAATAATCCATCAATATACCTTTCACATCATGCAGTGATAAGAGAAGACAAAGAAACAACACAATGCAGAGTAGTGTTTGACGCATCTTGCAAAGGAGCGAACAATAAATCACTGAATGATGAATTACTCGTTGGTCCACAATTACAAGAAGATTTAAGAAGTTTGATAATCAGATGGCGTATGAAGCCAGTATGTTTTATAGCCGATATCCAAAAAATGTATTTACAAATCCTAGTGACGAAAGAAGATACCGATTGTCAAAGAATATTTTGGAGAAAAAGTAACAAAGAAGAACTAAAAATATATCGTTTAAAAAGAGTAACATTTGGGACTTCATCTGCGCCTTATCTTGCAGTTAGAACGCTTGTGCAGCTCTCAAAAGATGAAGAAAAAAATTATCCAGAATAGCTAAAGTAATAAGAGAAGATTTTTATGTAGACGATTGTATGAGCGGTGCGATGACAGAACAGGATTGCATTAAACTTGGTCAGCAGCTTCAAGCTATACTCAAAAAAGGAGGATTTAAATTACATAAATTCGCATCCAATAATAAAAACTTCTTAAGTCAAATCAATTCGGAATTGAGAAGTTCTAAGGCCAGTATTAATATAAAAAGCGACAGCACCATTAAAGCACTCGGTCTAGCATGGAACATGAGTATGGACACTTTTCATTATCAGCTCAATTTGCCGCTGATACCAAAAGAAATAACCAAAAGGAATATCTTGGCAGACATTCAACGCCTTTTTGATCCGTTAGGTTGGCTTGGTGCAAGCATAATTCCAGCAAAAATTTTAATACAAAAACTATGGCTAAAAAACCTTGATTGGGATGATAAAATAGATGAAGATTTAGAGAAAGAGTGGTTAATATTGAGAAAAAGTTTTAAACAAATAAAAAACGTGGAAATTCCCAGATGGATAGACACAGAATATGAAGACAGCAAAAACGTAACCCTTCATGGTTTTTGTGATGCTTCAAATAAAGCCTATTGCGCAGTAGTATATTGCAGAATAGCAAATAATAAAGGAGAAATTAAAACGAATATTATTGCCTCGAGAACACGAGTCGCCCCTGTAAAACCACTTTCATTACCTAGGCTTGAGCTTTGTGGGGCAGTTATTTTGGCAAGGTTGTTAACACACATAAGAGAAGCTATGAGATTATCACCTACCAAAGTGTTTGCTTGGACGGATTCGTCGGTTGTACTCTCATGGTTGTTCGGAGATCCGAACCGTTGGAAACCGTTCGTTAGTAACAGAGTAGTTGAAATATTAGACAATCTTTGCAATACTCAATTGTTTCATGTAAAAACGAATGATAATCCAGCAGATATTGGATCAAGAGGAATGAATTTACAACAACTTATTCAATGTAAACAGTGGTGGGAAGGACCTGCTTGGCTGAAGGAGAAAAACATAGAATACTCAAGACCAAATTTGATACCGACTGATATAGAAAGAAAAAAAAATATTCAGGTGAATTTAAAAACAGAAACAAAGAAACAGAGAATTAAATTAGAAAATTTTGATTCACTACAAGAACTCTTAAAAGTTGTAGTTTATTGTTCAAGATTTATTAATAGTAAGAAACAACCTGACGAAATAAGAAAGAATATTACAACTGAAGAATATGAAAATGCTTTATTAAAATGTGTAAGAATTGTTCAGAAAAGAGAATACGAAGATGTTATAAAAAATATACGAATGAAAGGAAGAGTAAAAAAAGGAAGTAGTTTGAAATCATTAAACCCTTTTCTTGATACTCAAAATATACTTAGGGTGGGCGGAAGACTCCAAAGATCGGAATTAACACAAGAACAAAAACATCCAATCATACTGAGCTCATTTGACTTCTTTGTTAATAGCAGATGCACACAAGAAAACCCTACACGGTGGTATTCAACTCATGCTCTGCTATCTTAGGAATAGATTCTGGATCATTCGAGCTAAGAATGCGATTAAATTTTATATACGAAAATGTATAGTATGTGCAAGACAAAGGGCTGCCATAAGGACTCAAATCATGGGTGAACTTCCAAAGGCACGAGTGACTCCAGCCCGACCGTTTCTCCACAGCGGAGTGGACTTTGCTGGTCCATTGCAAATTTTGCTTTCTAAGGGGAGAGGCGCCAAGACAAGCAAAGCATACATCGCCATTTTTGTATGCATGGCCACTAAAGCCATACATTTAGAATTAGTCGGAGACCTCACCGCTGAATCTTTCATAGGAGCCTTTCATAGATTTGTTGCTAGAAGAGGCAAATGTTCGCATATATGGAGTGATCAGGGAAGGAATTTCGTAGGAGCAAATAAAGATTTAGCAGACGCCTGGAAGCAGGCACGTTTAGAAATCCCTGGCTATCTGATAGACACATTAGCTCTCGACGGAACTCAGTGGCATTTCATACCTCCTCATAGCCCCAACTTCGGTGGCTTGTGGGAAGCCGGCGTAAAATCTACGAAATACCACCTTAGAAGAATTATGACGAGAAACTTAACACAAGAAGAAATGACGACAGTGTTATGTCAGATAGAGGCATGCCTTAACTCCCGCCCTTTGGTACCTATCGACACTGAAGATGTAGACGTCATAGACCCATTAACACCGGGTCACTTTTTAATTGGTGAAGCTCCCATATTGCCACCGAGTCCAGACTTACGTGACATCAACGCAAGTAAACTCACACGATGGCAATTTACTCAGAAAATAGTAAGAGATTTCTGGCAACGTTGGCATACAGAATATTTGTCACGACTCCAAGAAAGGACAAAATGGATAAAACGTGAGTCAGAGTATGAAATAGGTGATATAGTTCTCCTCAAAGATGACAACTTGCCACCAGGGAAGTGGCTACTCGGTCGAATTATGGAGAAGTACCCAGGACCGGATGGTATAGCCCGAGTATATGGTGTTAAATGTGGCACGAATATATTAAAACGCTCAATTTCCAAATTGTGGGCTTTGCCCATTGAATCTAAATAAATGTATATCGCAATTAGCAATTAATATCTCAATGTAAAAAAAAAAAAGTTAATCTTAAGTTCTATGTATTTTTCGATTTATAAGTCATACTTTATTGCTCTCATCATGTTTAATTTATTCATAAGATAGTGAATAATGATAAGACACACTTTATTGTTTACATTATGTTTAAATTTTTTATAAGATAGTGATAAGTCATACTTTATTGTTTACAATACGTTTAATTTTTTATTTTTAATACAGTGATAAGTCCTTCTATATTGTTTAATGATAATGGTATTATATTTTGATACTATGTTAAGTGCATTACCTTTGTTAGCCTCTGAAATTTGTAAAATAGTATTAACAATTTTACTTGTAAATTTAATGTTTATAACTTCTTTATAAAGGACAGTCGTCCTTTGGTGGGCGGTATGTCTGTGGCATAGAATTCAATTTAGCGTACGCATGTCTTAGAAGTGAATGTCTTAGGATGTTATACCCATATTATCATTTGTGCACATTATTATAGACAGTTGCAAATAAAACGCATTCAAGAGAGGACGTATTTCATTACTCTATTTAAACCCCAATCAAAAAACAACTCTATTGCAAGTACAGGCCCAAATAGGAAGATTGTAACTGAAGGACTTATTTTCAAATCAGACTTGTAGGGAGTGGTATTCAAAACAAAATATTTTGTAAATAATACCCTATCTATCTCGCAAATGAAAAAGTAATAGTAGTAATGCATTTAAGTAATTTTCTTCATAAAGTGTATATGTAGAGATCGCTATGTGGCGATAAGGCTGCCAAATTGTACACATAATCTGTTTTTTGTTGTTATTGGTATATTTGTTTGTGAGGTACAATAAAGTACATTCATTCAGTTATTCATTCATACATTTAATAAGACAATTATTATTTTTAACAGTTTACAATTTTCTATGGAGTTGTCACGAATTTTAAGAATTACACGTTAACCTCGTAATTCTACTTAGCTGTGATGATTTTCTTTTTAACCATTATATATAATACTATTGTGTTTACTTTTTACATTTCCATATACACCGGTTTAGTTGGTAGAGCGGTATGTGGAGGGGGGGGGGGGACACATGAGTCTAATGAAAAATACCACTTTGAAGCTAAATATTTCGCAAACGGCCCCTGAATCAAACAGATGTTGTTCCACACTCCCAGTGTAAATATATTTACGAACCATACTATATAACAAACGTCATTGAATTTCCTTATTTATTATTTACGTTTTAGTGAGTAACTGTTGAAGATATACGCTAAAAACATTTTATCTTTTTAACTATCTACAGCTGTAAAATAAAATAGCTATTGTTCTCCCACTCGTACGCTTTGTGATGTCTTCAAAGGATGTTAAATTTCTGTAAAGATGTACTTTTACTCTTGTTATTTTGTTACAATTACTTTGTTGCTGTATTTAAAAGTTGTTTATTTTTTAATGTGACCTCCTAAATTGAACTGTCAATAAAAATATTTTTTTCAACTTGGCCAAAAATAATAAAATTATTTCATCATAACAGCTTTAGAAGTCGATGCTTAGTCACAGTGAATACATGATTCAGTTATTCATTCAGTTCTTTGTTGTCAGTTTAAAATTTTTATTAGGTTTCCGAAGTTACACAACAAGGAACCTTTATAGTTTCGCCATGTCAGTCCGCCCGTCCGTCTGTTCACGGTTTTACTCAGATACCCCAGGTGCTACAAATCTGTAATTTGGCATAGTTATAGACATTAATCACGCCTACAAAACTGTAAAATAAAATCTTTAAAAAAACATTTAGCTATGGGTATGGGTATGAGTAGCTCCCATACAAGTAAATGTAGAATGATTTTTTTACCCATCTATTCCATCACGTGAAGTATCATTGAATAGGTCTTTAAAAACACTGGAGGTATGGTACAAGAACTTTTTGAGTCAGAGGTCCGTTTGCGAAATATTTAGCTCTAAACCGGTATTTTTCATTAGAGTCGTGGGGCCTCCCCTCCCCCTCTACCAACTAAACAGCTGTTTAGTTGGTAGAGGGGGAGCATTCATTCAGCTGCGATTAAGCTATGGTTAGAGTTAAGGATTAAACTATGGTTTGAAAAAAAAATTAAAAGGATTTGTAACAAAAATAGAGAATTTGTATTGTCCGTTGACAAATTGGAACGAAGAAAAGATGTTGCAGGGTAAAGTGCCTGTGCTGTAGAGGAGCGAAGTGCAAAGACAAGAGGAGAGGGGAGAAGAAGTTGTTAAAAGTGATGTAGTTAACTTGTGCGGTTGGCCCGCACAAGTTATGCTTTGCATTTTTAGTAATTAATTTTAGTATAATAATACAAACCTGCTAATAAAAAAAATATAAATATCAATTTTAATTTTAATTGTTATACAGTTTATTTCCAGAACTCCACGTTAGTTACGAGACCGTTCATTTAGTCCCTGTCCTCACTGCGATATTTCACCGCGCGTTTTTTTTTTCGCAATTATGTAACACATATAATCTTATAGGAGTAGCCGAACTGGCGGTATAAAAGTTGTGCGGGACAAAATCTGTGATTTGATGAAAATTGAACGCAAAGCGGTGCGATTTATTTCCGCGCAAATATTTTGTGCAGTATAAAGTATGGCTATGTCCGCACTGCGGAATAAAATTCGGGCGTTTCGCGTCTCTCTCCAGGTTTAATTATTTTTGTCCAATTCGTATCTTGATAAGTAACAGCCTAACCAACAAGTCGTAGTGAATTATTGAATGATTTTATAGTCATTCCGTAATATCTGAAAAACTTTTTACTGTATTTTCGCAACCTTTAATGTTTTATGTAGAAAAATAATTTCATAGGTGAGACCTAGATTAGTTAATCTAATGTTCATGAAATCTTTTGATACGTCTATCACGCCGCCGCCGTAATATGTTTAGACGTGCATTTCAGCGGTGAACTGCATCAAACTGACAAAATCGTACGAAATTTCTTTCACAGTGCGTACTAGGTGTAATTCCTATCACGGAATATAATACGCAAGAATAAAAGTCGCGCGTTGAAATATCGCAATGCGGGCAGGGCCTTATAGATTATTGATAGTTGCCTAAGACTATAAACAAAGTTTTGCAACAAGGCCGTTGACCTTTAAAGCTTAATCTTAGTTTAATTTAAGTGATTAGTGTAATACAAAGACTCAGTGTGTAACTCATGTACCGTATTTTAGATTCTTAATTACTGCTCACAGCTTATCAACCCACAAATCTGAATAGAACAGACAACAGTCTTTAACTAATTTACTTATCCTAAAAGCGTCAGTGTTTGATAGCCTTAGTTTGTTAGCGTTAGCCAGTAAGATTAAAGCCTTTTAATAAGGAGCCTCGTTTCATTCTTAAAGCAATAATATGATATTTAAGTGAACAAGAATTTAAGTAAAACGGAAATTATGTACTATACTTTTTTTTAAAAGCTATGTCCGTAACTTCGTATGTAAGAATTGAAATAATGGTAGGATTATTATTAATATAATAAACCTTATATTGGAAATAATATCCTCCACTAGGTGGAGTGACGACATCATAAATATTTCAGGGCTTTGATTTCTACCATAGACATATTATGCAATTAATTTAAACAAAGAAGGCTACAAATGAATTGCAACAATTGAGGACTTAAATGGAATTTTTACGCTTTACCTCTGCGTTTCGCTTGGTGAGTGCAGGAGGCCGGAACCCTCCCCCCTGTCAATATGGTAGCGTAATTAAACGAAAGACTACCACAGGAGGGTACCAACACCCCTGGAGAATCCCTGGCTGAGCATCCACGACCAAGCTACTCCATTTCTGAGCGTGGGTGCTCAGGCTGCCCCACGTATTCTACGGAGGGGGGGGGGGCTAAATCCCACTCGAGACTAATACTGCTCGAGGCAAGCGGAGCAATAAGACCAAGGCGACCCCTGTCACTCTATGTGTGAATTTTTGCATCATCAGGGGCTTCATTCCAACCTTAACGCTGGTCAATACCATCTAGAGACGGCAAAGCCGGCCTTGCTCTTTTTAACTGAGACTCAATTATCCTCCCCGGCTGATATTTCATATCTCTTCTACTTCATATCCCCGCGTCTTGAGGTGCCTCTATAGGTACCATAGCGGTAATGCCGAAACAGACCGACTCATCGACCATGTCCAAATGGCAACAGATTCCTTGCTACAGCAGATCCCATCCATATAGATCGTGATCCTTGGCGATTTAACCCCCATCATGCCAAATATCTCGGTTCACGTTTAATCGATTATACGGGAAGATCTGTTTATGACTTTGCTTTGGCATATGGTCTTACACAGCTAGTTACTTCGCCTACATAGATTCCATACGCGAATGATCATGCACCTTCCCTGTTGGACCTTCTGCTGACCTCACATCCGGACGGATATCAGGTTTCTACCGACGTTCTTTTAGGCACAATAGACCATTGTCTTGTACGGAGTGTGGTGCCACTTAAACTAAGGTCACGGTTGCATTCTGCAGGCTGCCACCGTGTTTGTGCACAATAGGTAGGCCGATTGGGATAGTATCCGCTCTTTTTTTGAATCCTACATTTGGGAGCTAGTTTGCTTCTCGCCGGAAGATCCCAGCGTTGTTGCTGATTCTATCGCTCAGGTGGTACTGGGGCGGGTTTGCTTCTCGCCGGAAGATCCCAGTGTTGTTCCACAAGGCAGCGTGCTATCATCAACACTGTTTCTTTTGAATATCAATAATATGTTGCAAGCTGGTAACATCCATTGTTATGCAGACGACAGCACTGGTGATGCCTTATACTCCAGCTGTGCCTATATTTCTCGGGAAAATGTCGTCGTGTACTGGGACAAACTTGTGTCTAAAGTCGAGTCTTTGCTGAACAAAGCCTCGGATTTGGGCGACTAAATCTAATCCAGTTCAATCCCCAGAAGACACAAGTTTGCGCGCTTACTGCTAAAAAGAACTCCTTTGTCGTATCTTCTCAGTTTCAAAGTACTCCCCTTGCTCTG